AATTTACTTCCTACGTGTATGTTTGTGTATATATGCACGTATATGTGTATATACAATATATGTATAATACAACACGTATGTGTATATATACACATATATATGTATATATATATATATATGTATGCACACATACATATATAACTTTTTCATTGTTACATTCGAATATTTACCGAACGCAAACACGGTATTCGTTATTGAGGATTTTGCGATAAATTTGTGGAAATTTCGAAAAATGAGTAAATAAACCTAGGAAAAAGAAAAACAAAGGAAAAAACGAAAAATGAAAGAAAAATTGCGGGAGAGAGAGAGAGAGAGAGAGAGAGAGAGAGAGAGAAATAAATTACGATCGTACGAAGTTCTTATTGGAAATAAAAATTTATTACGACGTAATAATATACTAGAAATATTAAATATTATCATTACATGTTGCATTCGACTTTTATGTACATATTTGTACATATATAATATATTTTATGTGTATCTATATATATATATATATATATACGAATAAATAGAAACGATGAAAATGGATTAAGCGTGAGATTAGATTGTTTCGAAATAAGGAAAATTAATTATTTCGAGAATATAATCAGTGTGAGTACAAAGTTAGACGATTGGTATAAAGGATTAGTTTTGAACGTATGGGAATTATTAGATTCGAGTTTCTTAAAACAATGATATATGTCATATGTAATTATGACAATGCTATCGGAGAATGCTTTCGAATGTTTTCGTTTAACGAATAAACAGATAAATTCGAATAATTTATTAGAGTAATGGTAAATCTTAGAAAATGGAAAACTTAGGATTTATTAAATAATACCAGAGATAAACGTATCGGTTTCTAAATCGTCTAATTTTCTCTCTCTCTCTCTCACTCTCTCTCTCTCTCTCTCTCTCTACCTATATATCTTCATCTTCATTTATTCAGTTTTGTTTTATTGTTAGATGCATAACTACGTATTAGATGCATAACTACGTATAAATACAGCTTATGTATCCTCTTTGTCGTATAATTCCATTACTCGAGGAATGACCTCTCGAGTACACGCACTGACAAAATGGAGTTTCAGAGGTAAAACCAGTGGGAGGATACGAATTTCGGCAACATTTTCCCTCACTAGAAGCAACAGCAGTATCAGCAACAGTAGCGTCAGCATCAACAACAATAACAGTAGGGGAGTAACACGGTAACACCGACAATGACAATGACACCGACAACGACGGCGACGCCACGACAACGCGACAAACAAATAACAACAAACAAATAACAACAACGACAAAAGTAACACAGAGTTCTCGTGTCTCTTTCGTTTATTCATCAGTACGTTTACGTTCTATTTCCTATCGGGAATATATTTCTCTTTCTCTCTCTCCCCCCTCCGCCCTTTCCCCCAAACCCCCTCACTTCTCTTTCTCTCTTTCTCCCCCCTCCAGCCCCCTTTCTTCTCTTTCTCTTTCTTTCTGTGTGTATGTGCGTTTAAGACACATTTAGAGTTCACAGGTAAAGCAGTAAAGTGCAATATTACGTAACCCAGAAATGTCAGCAGATCGATCCCGAAGCCTACTCACGCCGGATGACGTCTCGTCTCCTCTCTTCTATCTCTTTCTCTATCTTTCTCTCTCTTTTCCCCCTTCGTCTGCGTGTAAACACACGCGGGGCTGCGCTCGACACTTTATTGCGGCCATTCTCGAGTACTCGCGTCCGATGAAAATGAAGAAAAAAAAAAAAAAAAAGAGGTGATGGCTGTGGGGAAACGAGAAAAGAAAAGAAAAGAAGGTTTGTTCTGATGAAACAAACAAAAAAAAAATATATATATATAATATATATTACATAGAAATTCGAGATCTATTTTTTTGTTTGTTTCTTTTTTTTGTTTTTTTTTTTTTTT